GTCGTAGGGCGCACGTGCGGGGGAGTAGGGGTGTGGGAATTGAGCGAGTGATGGGGGATGCAAAGGGCGCGAGGGTGCAGGTTATCAGGGATGCAGGCGTCTGGCCGCACATTGTTCCGCAACTGAGACATGGCAGGGGAGCATGGGGGCATGACGGCTGGCAGCGGCAGGGGCTGGCCTGTGGGGTACGTTCCCACGTCCTGCACTCCTGGGGAGGCCCAGCAATCTTGTTGAAGCGGGCGCGGCTGGCCTTTGCCCACAAAAGACGTGCGCATGCTCACATCGTACACACCACACGCACATACCCCTGAGAAGGCTTGCATGCAGGCTGACACAACACACATGCGTCAGCACCGACAGACATTCATGCAAGCCCATATGCAGGCACATCTCTTATCACAACACGTATATACACACGTGCGCGCACACGCACCTTGACAAAGTAGTGTGCCATGCTGCCAGCTGCCCCCAGCTCTTCCAGGCTATTGGCCACATCCTGGCGCGGCGGTGTGGGGGGAAAGGGGGGCGGACCACCCATTGCCGCAAGCAGGCGGGCCGTCGGCGCGTGAAAGGCGGACCCGGGGAAGCCAAGAGGGAAGCTACGTGGCTAGCAGCTTCACACAATAGCCCCCCCCCCCCCCCAAACACACCCGGCCACGCTGCAAGACTGGTGCACACCTGTACGCGTATACACAACTCGCACATGCAAGCAGGCACGCAGGCACGCTTCTCTGTGTGTTCTTCCTCTCTCACCTGGACGTCGCCGCTGCTGTAGTACTCGTCGCAGATCGTGGCGATCTCCCTCTTGTAAGCCACCACCTCCTCCCTGATCCGGCTGCTGTGGGCAGACTGCAGGACGAGGCAGGAGCGGCCGCGGCGCGTGCTAACACGCGTGCCGGGGCAGCGCACGCGCCGGGCGTGGCGCGACGGAGGGCTGAGCCGCCGCGGCCCGCCGTGCCGCGCGGGGCGCCCGCCGGCCGCGCCGCTGCGGCTTGGAACAACGCCATGCGCCGCGCTGCGGCGCCCAGCAACCTCGGGACCGCCCCGACCGACGGGCGTGCGAGCGGCCGGCCATCCTCACGCACACCTTGCGTCGCCCCGCCGGGGGGGACCTCCCCGCCCCCCGCCTCGCGTCCCTTTCCGCTCTCTTGCATTAGATGTTTGAAGCCGCACCTGCAGCACCACAGCCCTCTCCTCTTCGCTATCATAATTGGGATCGTTCCTGTCCAGGCTGCCGCCCACCAGAGACGAAAACGACGACTGCGTGAAAAATATGGCGCGTGGCAGGGGAGGGGGGTTGGGGTCACCGACGCAGGGGGCAGGCTTTTGCGCGAAACAGGAGCGTGCGGCTTCACCCCTGCGCCGGCGGCGGAGTTCGAACCTGTGTCTCTGGGATCCCAAGGCACAAAAGCAGCGCCTGTACCGCAGCGCGATGGCGCTCTGCATCCCGCCGCCCACGGCCCGCGACTCACCCCGTCGTCGGGCCCTGCCTTCCCCCATGTGAACTTCCCGCCCGCCCCGCCCTTCTTGGCGGCGCCTGCGGGGCGCGTGGGGCGGGGGGCGAGGGCGCGCGTGGGCAGGCGCAAGATCGGGGGGCCGGCGGCCAGCGGCCGGGCAAGGCGCGCAGCCCCTGGAGGGCGGCTCCGCAGGTGGCCCTTGGCCCCAATACAAGGCGCCCACCGCCAGAGGAGCAGGCCGCGGGAGCGGCGTGGCCGGCGTCAAGCCCCTGCAGCCGCGGTACGAGGCGCACCTGACCCTTTGACGTTTTTGGTCTTCCTGTCTGTCGCGTGCGGTGCGCTGTGCGAGGCCTGGCCCTTGATCACGGCTTTTGCGCCTGCGGGGCCGGCGGTGGTGGCGGCGGCCGCGGCGCGGCGCGGGTGTGAAC